GACGAATCGGGTGATTATACTGAAGACAATCCACCAATCATACAAGAAATAGACGAATTCGAATAACGTTTTTATCCGACAACAACGAGGAACTACTTAATAGATTACGAGTAATATTAGCGGCAATGAAGGAAGGACATCGATCATACAGACAATATAATGAAGTAAATTGTATATTAAAAAGACTCCTAGAGAAAGGTATCATAGATAAAAATGATTATAAAAGCGTGATTAAAAATGTCAAATAAAGAACAACTATTCGTCATCACCTCAAATAAATCATATATTAAATTATCTCTAGATTATGAGTACGAACTCATCGCAATCAAGAATATGAATTGGGATTAAAGTATTTCTCTATTTACAATTCCATTAGAAATATCAACGAAAAAATAATCAAATAAAAATATCAACAGATAACGGAGTTACGTTCAAAACATACGTTTACTACCAGGAAGCTATGAATACATAGCCATTAACGAATACATATCTAAATATGGAGGAAGTGTCAATGGTAAAAACAATATTGAATTCGAAGGTAATTTGAATCTGAACAAAATAAAATTGATATTAAGAAATAATAGTCAAGTAGATTTCAACGTAGAAAATTCATTGAATACGTTACTAGGATTTGATAAACGAGTATACACCCAATCCACTTTAGCACCACACAAAGCTAATATCCAAAGGTTAAATTCGCGTTCTGCATTCTACAAAGTCTACGGTTAAAAGACTCAAATTGAAAAAAGTAAATAAGATAGGAGATAAAACACTTAAAAATACTTTCTACCTAAGAAATGACCACGTGTTTTTAAGAATTTACACAATCAGATCTGGATCCTATTTTGAACCAAATACAGCGCCATACTTTAGAGATGATATAGAGATTCTTGCACACAAGCATTGGAACTTAATGATTTGCCTCGAAATTTGGCCATTTACGCTTCTCTTGATTTCTTTCAACTAGGCCTAGTAAAGTCTTGATGTTTTCTTTACGCTGGCTGCAATAAAAAGTTGGAATGTTCTTATAAAAATACGTATGAAACTACGAAACAATGAATATTCTTTCTTATTTTCAATTTGAAATTTTGTGACTATATACTTTGTATGCGTTAAAAAATAAAATGTGAGTCTAAAAGGCTTTTGTTGTCATGGACATAATCTCCACTCACCTGTCAATCATGTAGTAGTAGTTGCCTAGTAAGATACGCCGACCTCCTTGATAAATTTTTAGTTAATCAAGGGCGCTTGTCAATCTATGTCAAATTTAACTAAAAATCTAACCTGTCAAATATTGATTTTGATGCGTTTTAGTAAGTCTAGGACAATAATTAAAAAACCCTTCATCGAAAATTATTCAAAGTCAAGGCAATAACTCATAAACCGTTGATCGAAAAATCGTCATATCGAACTTGTCCAAGATCTCATCAATATAAATGATCACACCAAATTTCATTCAAATAGGATAAAAATTATAGTATCCATCGCGCTCACAAGCCATTTTTGGACGGATGGACGGACGGACATTATAATGTGGATGTATTATCATTATTTCACTAAATGACTTATCTATATTTTTGCAAATATATAATGTAATTTCTTTTCATATTATGTTAATAAAATATTGTTTAGAAAAAACAACAATTACATTACATTATATTAGGTAAGAGTGGTTGTAACAACAACATATAATCAAAATGATTAAAACATAGGCCGAGGTGAAAATTCAGCTGCACCAGCGTGATATTTATAAATTACTGATATTAAATTAAAAATACTAATTAAATAATTCTGAAATAACAGAGTATATTAATGTGATTGAAGGTCGTCGTTTTCTGTTTCTGTAACGAACATCCTATGAACTAATACGATAAACAAAGAAAAGTAATTATTTTTTCAAAACNTGTACATATGTCGGTTCA